TATTATTATTATTATTATTATTATTATTATTATCATTATTATTATTATTATTATTTATCATTAAACATTTTATTAGGCTCTTCTACTTCAATCAGCTACTGATTGAGGATTTTTTAATAAAATTCATAGTTTATGTAACAAATAATTGAAAAACGTTTTTTAAATGGGAAGATTTTAGTTCCTTAAAAGTTATTTCAATTAATTTATCAATTGTTCTCGATAGTTTTTTATTAATGATTTAACTAAATTAATATATATACATATATGCAAAATCCTTGAAGTGGTATTAATATATCTCTACTATACCTTACTTGGTAAATCGCTTTTAAAATGCCTTGTATAGAGATTATATCAACTTTTTGGGATCTCCTAGTGCAATGCAAAAACTAGATAACAATTTCTTCCACTTATCATTATTGTTAACAGTAATCTAACAGTGAATTAACAGTGAATTTGTACATGACAGAGTACAGATAAATAGTAGTAGAGCATCTACTCTTCGACTTGTGAGATTCTGTTATGCGCTCTTCTCTTATGTTTTATGTAAGCAATAGATACTGTGGCGGATACATATTAGTTTTTCTTAGGAGTGGGCAGCTGGAGTTGGAGTCTATCATATATTCGTGTTTCGGCTACTGTCTGACGTCTTTTGTCTTTTGCCTGTTGTTTTTTGTCTGTTGGCTGTTGTCTGTTGTCTGTAGTCTGCTGTCCGCTGTCTGTTGTCTGCCCTTAATAATATTTTGGTCAGCAAACATAAAATGTATGCATGCATTTTGTTCAAGAGTTTCCAACGCCAAAATTGGGAATGGAGTTTATTGTTTTCTTGGCTTGTTGTCGCTTTCCAGTCGGGGCCTCGGAGTGTGCCATTAATTGTTACTTGGCTTTGTGTTTGTAGCCGGGGCCCCAAAAACTTTCGAAAATGTTGGTTAGTTTTTTTTTTTTCTTTTTTGTTTGATAAATGTTGCGCTTTGAAATATTAATTACACTTGCGCTCGGGTGTTGAATTGGCTTTCAGGCAGTGTCTAAAATTTATTGAAAGACAAACACAAGACACTTTTAATGGCAGTAGATGGCAGTGGAGGAAGCGAGGGAACTAGGTAGTTCCCCAGAGATTTATTTCATTGTTTTTTCGGTTCCGTCAGCCATAGAAAATTGAGCGTTCTAATCTTCAAGTTTATGCCCGCGGACGGTATCACAAATTGCAATTTAATGGAAAGCAATAAAAAATCTGACAAATTAAAATTAAATTAATCAAGCATCTCTTTATGCAATTTAAAATAAATTCTTGTTCCTTTGATGAAATTTCTTTATGACTTTAAGAATTACGATAGATAATTGAGGCAATCAAAATGAAGCAAACATAAATTGCATATATGTGTAATATGTTTATAATTCCATTAATTTTGTAGATATAATGTTGTTGGACATTTTGTATAATTGAATCAATTTTGTAGTTAATTAATGAATAAAAAAATAAACGAGCTCGAATTAAATTAATGAAATTTCCGAAAAACTCGATAACCAATTTTAACGTTCTCTAAAGTTTTTTAAACATTAACAAAAAATATATAGAGAATAAATTTAACATTATCATATTTAAATAAACAAACTAAATTATGTTTTTTATAGATTAATTTAATCAATTAAAATAGACAATTTTTATCTCAAGGTATTCAATTTTTTGATGAATGAAAAGTTAATATACGATTTCAGAAAGAACTTAAAATTGCTTATGAATCTCGTAGTTTTATATCAAAAAGCCGATGCTTTCTATACTCTCTATATATTCATAATACTTCCAATTGGACATATTTCACTGTATAATATTCACATCAAACGTGTTTGGCTGACCCATTGAACCAAGCTGTTAATCAGCTCATTTAAGTCTATAAAGTCTATGCAAAATAGTTGAACTATAAATGCGACATTTGCCGTAGACTCGACTCACAATTGGATTAGTTTCCATCTGCATAAATAATCCGTCGCAATTGCATGTAAAACGTTTATTAATGCTAATCCATGTAACTAACTAACTAACTAACTAACTGTATTAACTAAGCCAATGGAATTCACATTCCATTCGTTGGCTGCCAATCAAAAGTTTTTGGCATAATGAAAAAGCTCCACTGGGAGCTGTTGAAGCTGTTTGTCCTCAACGCCAATTGTCAATTATATAGCTGGACTTTATGAGAGGGAGGGAGTGGGAGAGGGAGAGGGAGTGCTCTATGTGCCCGCCCTTAGGCCACGGTCCGAGTCCCGGAACAACACATTGCCATTGACTATGCAACGATGTGTAAATGAGCAAAATATTACGCAGAGTTGCAAAAATATGCCGCAGGCGAGTCAAGCCACAGCAAATCAAATGTTTCAGCCTCTGTATATATACATATATATAAATATGCATATATATACCTACATATATATGTATATTGATGAAATGTGATGCTCGTTGATGTGCAGCCTCTTCCAGTGCTGTATAATCGAATGCAAAATAACTTTTTCAATTTGAACGTCCCGCTGCGCTCGACTCTTGACAGCCACGCCCATACGCCCAGATAACGTTGTTGTTGTTGTTGTTGTTATTGCTTGTGCTCACGTTTGCCACATTTTCCACGATTTCCATGTTTAATTATAAGCCCTGATGCGGCCTTCCCTCGCAGCAACAGAGAAGTTGCCACAAGGGAAATTTTGCACGCACAGTGGGCAACAAACAACAAAATATTGACTTATTATTAAATGAAAACAGAAAAGATTGAAAGGGCTTACGTTATTAAAAAGTAGAGACTTCAAGAGTGAAAAACAAATAAAACTGAGTTTTATTGATATGACAATGTCATTAATTTGTTTGATTAAAAAAATACAAGGATATATACAGTGGTTAAAAATCTAAGAAAATACTATACATAAACTATATTAATTTATTATTTATATTGATTATATTAATTTGTAAAAAATATTGATTACAATAAAACACAAATATTTAAAAATTTTATAATAAAACAAAACTATAAATACATAAAAATTTGTAAAAAGTGTAAATAAATAGTTTATATTTAATACAAATTAAATAGTAATTGAGTTTGATAAACAAATAGCAAGTATAAAGCAATGCAAATATAGTACAAATATTATTGCAACCACTGTGCCTCCTCCTCTGCACACAGCCTTTGAAGCTCACTTTCGACAGGCAACAGGAGCAGCCGGGCTGACGAGTGCTGGCAAGTGTTTCGCCCAAATTGAATATTGATTATGAAAATAATAAGCAAAAATTGCGTAACTTTCTGCCTGACAGAAGCCTCAACAACAACAACAACAACATCGACGGCAACAACAACAACAACAAGGACTCGAGCTGAGTTAAGAGTAAGAGAGAAGCAAAGGCTCAAGTGTCCATTGATTGACTGCCATTAGGGCGTATACGTAATAAGCAGGCAAACAGACAGAGGGACCGTCAGACGGACAGGCAGGCAGCCTAATCAAAGAGTGTTAATTTTCCCAAAGGACTCGCCAGCTCGCATTACACCCGCAGCAGCAGCAGCAGCAGCAGCAGCGGATCCTGAATGTAATTCAGGGCATATTTTCGCCAACTGGAAAGAAAAACTCATTTGAGCGTATGCGGAAA